TAAATGCTAACCTGTAGCTCCCCCCTGTCCCCACATCAGGGCCCACGTCCATCCCTGTTTGTGCCTGAGGTATCCTTTGAGCTGTTGGTGAAGAAGCAGGTGAAACGCCTGGAGGAGCCCAGTTTGCGCTGCGTGGAGCTGGTCCACGAGGAGATGCAGAGGATCATCCAGCACTGCAGCAACTACAGCACACAGGTAATGAGCTCCGCTCACATCTTCTCCGTCAAAGAAGGGAACTCATGTATTTACCTTTCCCTCACATGCAGGCATTCACATTCATATTGTTTTGTTCTGCAGGAGCTGCAGAGGTTCCCTAAGCTACATGAGGCCATTGTGGAAGTGGTCACCTCCCTCCTGAGGAAGAGACTGCCTATCACCAATGAAATGGTACCTCTGCATTTGTGCTTTCATCCTCTGCTGTCACGATCAGTCATTATGAGTGTTGATGTGTTTCAGCAAAAGGCTGAACTGATAGACTGAAGGTGTTCTCCTTTCTTGTCATAGGTCCACAACTTGGTTGCAATTGAGCTGGCCTACATCAACACCAAACATCCAGACTTTGCAGATGCTTGTGGGGTCATGAATAACAATATAGAGGTCAGTACTCACATTAAATACGCTAAAATGCAAATATTTTCATGGCAGAATAAAGAGGTGAAAACCTGATATTGCTTTCTGTTGGCCTGGGATTATATCTTATGTAATGTATATATATTAATATCTTTAGGTGTATAAAAAGTATTAAATGTTTCACTCAGAATGTATGGAAGTAAATAAAAGCCAAAATATTTTATTTTGAAAACCATCTATTTGAATTAATGTCAGTTAATTTCCCATCTTTGTAGCTAATATCAGGTTTTACAATTTCAAACACCTGATTTCAAGCAGTTTTTGTGGTTCACAAATTTTGCTAAAAAAATTTGCGAGTGTCAAACATTTTATTGAAGTTGCTCCAGTTCTGTCATTTTCATTTTGGTTGTAATTTGGTTTCTGAATTTCACCAGTCCAACCTGACCGACCAATTTTTAGAGCAGATTGAATACAATCAGTTTAATACTGGACATCTAAATTGACATATTTAATGTTTTTAAATTTCAATATTAAATATTCAGAGGTGATTTAATGACACAAGCACAGAAACTTTATTTTATCTATTAGAATTTTTATTATTTGGGAAATTATTAGCGTGTTATCAGAGTCTGTTAAAAGGTACATGTAGCATTTAAATATATATAATATATATCATACTGAACACAGAAAAAGGTTTACTCTGTTAAATGATGAAATGTAGCAGAATGGTTGGTAGAACTTAAAACATTTCTTCAAGAAGTAGAATAACTTCTTTCATCATGCGTTTTCCAGTAAATTATCTTCCATACTTTCCGAGGATGTGTTGAAGTTTAAGTAATTTTGCCAAAACCAGCAACTGTACCAACATCTGTTTTTGTGTGTTGTAGGAGCAAAGGAGAAACAGGATGAGAGAGCTGCCTACTGCAGTGCCCAGGGATAAGGTAAAAGAAACAGCCTTATTTGAAAATATAATAACAGAAGCCTATGTGTTCTAATATTTTCAGTGTCCCCAGTATAAAGGGGTTCTGTGCAGTGTTAATCACTCATAGCACTACAGGACGAGGATCTGTGAACCAAATGCTTCGGATAGTTTCCATCGAGGAATTTTATCCCACATCTCCTCCTCTCTTTCTCAGAGCGTCTCTTCTCCTAGCCTCCAATGACTTTTGACAGCCAGCCTCCTTTCCTCTGTCTTTCCACATTTCCTTTCAGTGTTTTTTTTCTCTCTCTCTCCATTCCTGCTCTCATATTCCTGCTAGTCTGTTGGCAAAGGCCCGCCTGGCCCAACTGTGGTTTCTGGCGAGCCCCCTGCGTCTGGAGCAGACATGGACGGTGCCAAGGTGGGCACGTACGCAGCTCGCTGGCTCTATGCCTGACTGGCTGTGCGGCTGGTGGTGGGGCATGGATGAATGGATGGATGGTTGATGGATGGATGGATGGATGGATGGTTGATGGATGGATGGGCATGGGCTGCTGGCATGCACTCTGATCTTTGTCTGCTGATGCCGTGCTGTTGGTTTGCTCCCCCCCCCCAGCCTGTGTGGACTTGCACTAACAACTGTTACGTTTTCTGCAGTGTCTTTCTCCAAAGCTGGTCCACCTGTCTCACCAAAAAATGCCTTCTCCCCCCTCCCTCTCCTTTTCCAGTGTTTTAATACTTTGGTTGCTCTGTCTTTTGTTCCTACTAAAGAGGAGTTGTGTGACAGTTGAAATTCTTCCTTTGTGCATCATTTATCTCAGCCTTTTTTGGCTGGAAAGTGCATACTGCAGGAGAATGACAACAGGCTTCACTGTGCCCAGTTTTTAAATGTTTAGCTTCAAGTTTCAAGTTCCTTTGTGTACATGCCTGTTTGACTTGTGGTTACAGTATTGCATATGACCCGGTCAAGGTTATTATGCTACATACCCTAACCACCCTCTCCCTGTGAACCCTGATGACAAGCGAAGGGTGCTGTTCTAATGAGTTAGTGGCTGAGGTGGTGTGATGATAGTTTGTCTTTCTTCATTTTTCTTCTCCTTCGGTTCCTCAGGCCCCAGCAGCTGGACCTCAGGGCGAGCAGGACGGCACAGGGAACTGGAGGGGGATGCTGAAGAAAGGAGAGGAAGCCCCAGGCTCTGGTCCCGGGAGCCCACTCAAAGGAGCTGTCAACCTACTTGATGTGGTAGCTAAACATTAGCCTATCAGCACGCCACAGTGAGAAGAGTATTTGTCGGTGACCAACTGATTAAAACGCTCTCCCTCCTTTCCCCCTCCAGCCTGTGCCAGTCGCCAGGAAGCTGTCATCACGTGAGCAGCGGGACTGTGAGGTCATCGAACGCCTCATCAAGTCTTACTTCCTCATTGTCCGCAAGAATATCCAGGACAGGTAGGCCAACCAACTCCTTTTATAAAGGATAAGTCTGATGATTTTCTATAATGTTGTTGATATTGATGAACCAATGACGTATGGGTCCTACTAAGGAGTATTGTCTGTACAGATGAAGTCTGATATATTACATTGGTAGGAACAGATGGGCTACGAGCTACAGGCAGGGTAGGGAAATTAAAAGTATTGAGATGAACTAACATGTTGGTTTTGGTCTTTTCATGTGATGCATTTATAATAACAAAAGTACAGACCATTGCAAGTCTTTTCCTTTAAAATGTCTCCCCTTCCATATTTTCCAACTATGGGTAAAACTTGTAGACCTGAAATTGACCCAACATCTAAAATAAATCATCTAAAAATAAATTTTTGCCATATTGTTGGGGTCCCGTAGAGCTCAATAGGGTTACATATCTCGTATTTAGCTTGTATTTAACTCAACTCGATACTTCGTCAGGCACGGCCATCTGGTGGGTCAAACTTCAGCCCTTCCATCTGGGGGACAACGCAATCACCAGGCCATCTTGACGCCTTGTTCTCAACCATCTGTTCAGTTTGATTCCTCTCTCCCTCTATCTGCCGCAGTGTGCCAAAGGCAGTGATGCACTTCCTGGTCAACCATGTGAAGGACAGCCTCCAGAGCGAGCTTGTTGGCCAGCTGTATAAATCTGGCCTCCTCAATGATCTGCTGACTGAGTCGGAGGATATGGCCCAGCGGCGCAAGGAAGCCGCGGACATGCTACAGGTAACACACTCCACCTTGTAGCGAATAGTTTTCCCTGATGGATTGAAGCTCCTTTATCCATCATTTTAACATGTTTTTATTTTCTTTTATATCTTGTACACAGGCATTGCAGAAAGCCAGCCAGGTGATTGCTGAGATCCGGGAAACACATCTGTGGTGAAAAATAAACAAAGGGAGCTGAACCTGATCAGTTATCTCATCGCCATGCCCAAAGGACCGATGCTCCAGTTACTCATGTCTGAACTTGAAGTTTTGGATGTGCAACCATGAAAATGCACTGTTCTGATCCCTGCTCAGGCGTACAGTAGGTATCATTTTGGTTCACAAACTACCTGAAAGAAATGTAACTTAATTGAAGTTGTTTATTTAAAATGCTTGGTGTTGTCTTGATTATATGAAAATGCACTGCCTCTGTTCGCTAAGATTCACGTTAAGATTTTAGAAACTATAATTGCCACCCACTGCTCCTGAAGGAATCGAGGTTGCAGCCAAAGGCAAAGCACTTTTCATTTTTGACGGACTGTGGTTAACCAGTATGGAAATGGACTTTTGTGTTAAGTAGAAATGAAAGTTTTGATGGCATTTTGGCAGCTCCACAATGCATTCTGAAAAATGTTTTGGCTCTATGGTTATAAAAAAAAAAAATACTATACAGCCCCTCATCTGCAACCTTTTCATTCAGGAGTAGCTGTCATGTGTCAGAAAACCGTGGACCCTCAGAAGTCATAGTGTAATAATACAGCAGGGATTGGTTCACTGAATTACCATACATATGTCACTCCTGACTTACAGCAAATGTTATTCCTCATACCTGTGTACATACTCCACTTTATTTTTTGCACTGTTGTCACCACACTGTACTGTATAGAGAGGCCATCATCTTGACACTGTATTGCCAAAATCTTTATTTATTAATCTGTTATTTAAGTGTGTGGATAATGTTCTGAGCACTATTGCAGCCTGCTGTGGTAGGTCATTTAATCATGTTTACATATCGCTGCCTACATGTGAAATTTATAGTGCACTGTGGTTCTGTGTGTATGGTTCCCAAAAGAAAGAATAAATAGAGGTTTTTATTGCCACTTGAGTGATTTAGCTTCATATGTGGGGACAGTTGGGATTGGTGGAAAGATGTTTCTGAGGTGAGATAATTCGAACGTAAACCACACAAACAGGCACGACGTGACTCAAAAGCACAAGTTTCTTTATTGTTTGTGTACGTCAAGCTCTTGCAACGCTGTGTCTTTGTTAAAGTGAACATTAATGTCATCTGATTCAATAGTGCTGCTCATTTTCCGACGTCTCCTCAGAGAACTCCTGCTGAGGTCCTCCTCTATCTCAGCCTGCCCTTGCCCTTGCCTCTTCCTTTGGCGCTGTGGAGTCACAGACAAAAATCGTTTAACAATTAAGTGTGTATGCATAAATGCAAATTAAGTTCGTTGTTACAGTTTCAGGTGTGCCCCTGGCAATACGGTACAGATGCCCAGTGTTCATAATTTATTAAATAATCCTATTAAACAACTTCATTGTTATATTTCATATTGTCTTATTTATTTAAATTTGAAGGCTACTTACAATTACGACCTAAGTTTTTTCTCCTCACTCTAGGAGTACAGGCATGTTTTTCTGGCTAAATCCTTTTTTCATTTAACAAAAGTCCTCAAATGTTAAATGTTCTCAGGCTGCTGTACAAGGACATTTCTGAAATTAAATAATCTAAAATGGAGAAATTCTGATTTAAATTCGGAACTAATGGATCAAAGAATAAATAAATGGTTTTTGACATTTGTGGCTTCAGATTAACTTCAGTCACTACCAAAGAAGCATTACCCAGACCTCTGTGTGAATGACATCACCTGCCAGTACACATTCTCGTCTGAATATAGACAGATTTTTCTTCAAGTGTAACATTTCATCAATATATGTAGTGCCCCATAAGTACTCTAGTGTTCATTAAGAAAATGACATTGGCATAGAAGAGAGTGAACTGGAGTGGAGGGATAATTGAGGAGAGGGCAAACACCAAAGCATCATGCAATTAGAGGGCAAAGCACACAATTTCACACAGAACACAGATGGCAAATGAAGATTGTGTTCTCAACAACCTTACCTTTGATACGCTGTCTTTGTTGTCTTTTTTTGCACCTTTGCCAATAAGATCTGATACAACCACAGTTTAATGTACCAGATAATCGACTTGAAAAGCAGGGTGTAAACACTTACCACAAAATTCAACACAGATGTCTTGTTTGCTTTCTGCCTTAAACTTTTATGTACTAAACTTTTCAAGAGACCGTTTTCCCAAGAATGGCCGTGCAGATCGATTTACATTTCAAAATTTGGAACTGATACTGATACATGAAGTATTGAGCGTCTGAGGCTTTGTCATCTCGCAGGACAAATGGCTGATGTGGGAATCCAGTCTGTCTGGTTTTTGGATGTTCGTTCAAACCACCAGAGCTTCTTTATTTTATCAATTTCAAAGCTCAAATGTAACTGCGCATCAGTACCACAATGTTTTCAGCCAGCTTAGAATAAGACATAAAGAGGGATGCTTAGTAATAGATGAATGGAAAAGAGTTGCTACATTAGTTAAGAGAATAAGGAATACTAAGGAAAGTATAATCCAGTGGAGAATAGTTTAAAAAAAAGTAGTAATAAAATGCTGCATTCATTCCCAAAAAAAGAACAAGCCATTACACAAGAACTTTAAAAAAAGAGAACAGAATTTCTACTACTGGGGTGATCTTTTCCATGGCTGTCTCAAACAGGTAAAAATCTGAACGTTTTTTTAACTTGTTTACAGCCTAAGAAGAGTTAGACCTGCACTGTACAAAGTTAGAAATATGTTTACTACACTATATTCACTATGTTAATCTACAGTACGCTCACAACTCACTCAGAAAAAACTGCATCACATGTTCCCACTTTATATTAAGTAGGGTGATGTGACTTTAAAAGGCCTTGGGTATAAGAGATAATGTAACACTGAACTGAAGATCTGAAAATTACAGTCTTATTTACCTGTAAAGCAGTGAAAGAAAGAGTTTAAATGTGTTCTAGGATAGCGATAGCTATGCATAAAATATCAAAATCAGCTTTAAAGAATAGATTTTGCCAGAAAAATGGTCTGACTAAATATATCCCGAGGCTCTTTAAATGAGAACCAGCTCAATACTAGATCAGTGGCTTTTAGGAAAAAGACTGAGCACTGATTTGAACTACACCTCAGATTTCCTGAAAAATCTGAGGTGTGGTTCAAAGGTGGCTGCTACCTACCTTTGGTGGTCCTGAATGCGAGCCTGGAGCAGATTGATCTGTGGGTGACAAACATGGAGGACGGACTAAGGACACAAACAACAGTAGAGACAGCCGGACACTAGCTGAGCCAAAGAGCGGACCTCGTGGTCCTAAAGAGGGGCAGAGCAAGACATATTCACCTGACATGCAGAGAATTTCATCTGCAGATGGGGACTCACCTCTAGTCTTCCTGACTGAGCTATCAGTCAACTAAATCCCAAAGGGTTGGCCACAGACGCTCAGAACTACAATGTTTTTTATAACGTTCTGGTTGTGCTTGCATCATGAGCAGTCAAAATGTCCCTTACAGCTACAACTGAGGGATGAGACACTGTCAGAGAAATGTCACTGAGATCAAATTATAGCTGTCAAAAGTTGGAAAGAAAGTACAACAGCTGAAATAATGTTCTAGAGACACAGGGATTCAGATTTTAAACAGTGTATACACTATACTATGACTTTTTTATGCCTTACTATATACTACGACATTTTTTTCCTTATTCTACCATGATGTTTTTATGCCTTACTATATGATGTCGTTTCTATGAGTTTTTATTCCTTATTATACTATGAGGATTTTATGCTTTTTTACTAACAATACTATGACATTTTTATGTCTTTTTATGCCTTACTATATGATGTCATTTTATGCCCTACTATTCTATTACGCTTTTATGCCTTACTATACTGTCGTATTTGAGTTTTTATGCCTTACTAAACTATGACGCTTTTATGCTTTAATATACTATGTCGTTTATATGCCTTTTTATGCCTTACTATACTATGACATTTCTATGACGTTTTTATGCCTTAATATACCATGTTGTTTGATATCTGACCATACTATGACGTTTTTATGACCTTTTATGCCTTATTATTTTATGTTTTTTTCTGACATTTTATGCGTCACTATACGATGACATTTTTATGACTTCATATACTGTAATGTTTTTATGAGCTTTTATGCCATACTATGTCTTTTATATATCTTTTTGGGCCTAACTATACTATGACTTTTTTGGCATTTTTATGCCTTACTATGCAATGTCGTTTGATGTCTCACCATATTACGATGTTTTTATGACCTTTTATGCAATAATATACTATCATGTTTTTTTACTTTTTATGCCATACTATACTATGATGTTTTTTTGCATTTTTATGCCTTACTATATAGTTTCGTCTTATGCCTTGCCATACTATGACGTTTTCATGACCTTTTATACCTTAATATACTATCATGTTTTTTTGACTTTTTATGCCATACTATACTATGATGTTTTTTGGCATTTTTATGCCTTACTATGCTATGTCGTTTGATGCCTCACCATACTACGATTATATTATGACCATTTATGCCTTTATATACTATGATGTTTTTTTGACTTTTTTTGCCATACTATACTATGATGTTTTTTAGAATTTTTATGCCTTACTATGCTATGTTGTTTGATGTCTCACCATACTACGATGTTTTTATGACCTTTTATGCCTTAATATACCATCATGATTTTTTGACTTTTTATGCCATACTATACTATGACGTTTTTTGACTTTTTTTGCCATACTATACTATGATGTTTTTTGGCATTTTTATGCCTTACTATGCTGTATCGTTAGATGCCTCACCATACTACGATGATATTATGACCATTTATGCCTTAATATACCATCATGATTTTTTTGACTTTTTATGCCATACTATACTATGACGTTTTTTGACTTTTATTGCCATACTATACTATGATGTTTTTGGCATTTTTTGCCATACCATACTATGATGTTTTTTGGCATTTTCATGCCTTACTATGCTATGTCGTTTGATGTCTCACCATACTACGATGATATTATGACCATTTATGCCTTAATATACCATCATGATTTTTTTGACTTTTTATGCCATACTATACTATGACGTTTTTTGACTTTTATTGCCATACTATACTATGATGTTTTTGGCATTTTTTGCCATACCATACTATGATGTTTTTTGGCATTTTCATGCCTTACTATGCTATGTCGTTTGATGCCTCACAATACTACGATGATATTATGATCTTACAGGCCTTAATATAATATCACGTGTTTTTGACTTTTTATGACATACTATACTATGATGTTTTTTGGCATTTTTATGCCTTACTATGCTATGTCGTTTGATGCTTCATCATACTACGATGATATTATGACCATTTATGCCTCAATATACTATCATGTCTCTTTGACTTTTTATGCCATATTATACTATGATTATTTTTGCCATACTATACTATGATGTTTTTTGGCATTTTTATGCCTTACTATGCTATGTCGTTTGGTGCCTCGCCATACTACGATGATATTATGACCTTTTATGCCTTAATATACCATAATGAATTTTTTGACTTTTTTTGCCATACTATACTATGATGTTTTTTGCATTTTTATGCCTTACTATATAGTTTCGTCTTATTCCTTGCCATACTATGACTTTTTTGGCATTTTTATGCCTTACTATGCTATGTCGTTTGATGCCTCACCATACTATGATATTTTTATGACTTTTAATGCATTAATATACTATGCTTTTTTCACATTTTATGCCATTGTATACTACTTTTTTGGCATTTTTATGCCTCACTGTACTATGTAATTTATATGAGTTATTATTCCTTAATAAACTGTCATTTTGGTGAGTTTTTATGCTTTACTATACTATATCGTTTAGATGCCTTTTTATGCTTCACTGTACTATGTCATTCATATCAGTTTTTATGCCTTAATAAACTGTCGTTTTTATGAGTTTTTGTGCTTTACTGTGTCGTTTATATAGCTTATTGGGCTTTACTATAATATGCCGTTTATATGCCATACTATACTATGATGTTTTTTGGCATATTTATACCTTACTATATCATTTTGTTTTCATGCCCTTTTATGCCTTAATATACTATCATGTTTTGTTGCCCTTTTATGCCATACTATACTATGATGTTTTTTGGCATATTTATACCTTACTATATCATTTTGTTTTCATGACCTTTTATGCCTTAATATACTATCATGTTTTGTTGACCTTTTATGCCATACTATACCATAACGTTTTTTGGCATTTTTAAACCATTGTATGCTAAGACGTTTTTTGGCATTTTTATGCCTAACTATGCTATGTCGTTTGATGTTTCACCATACTACGATGTTTTTATGACCTTTTATGCATTATTATACTATCATGTTTTTTTGACTTTTTATGCCATACTATACTATGACGTTTTTTGACTTTTTTTGCCATACTATACTATGATGTTTTTTGGCATTTTTATGCCTTACTATGCTATGTCATTTGATGCCTCACCTCACTACGATGATATTATGACCATTTATGCCTTGATATACTATCATGATTTTTTGACTATTTATGCCATACTATACTATGACGTTTTTTGACTTTTTTTGCCATACTATACTATGATGTTTTTTGGCATTTTTATGCCTTACTATGCTATGTCATTTGATGCCTCACCTCACTACGATGATATTATGACCATTTATGCCTTGATATACTATCATGATTTTTTGACTATTTATGCCATACTATACTATGACGTTTTTTGACTTTTTTTGCCATACTATACTATGATGTTTTTTGGCATTTTTATGCCTTACTATGCTATGTCATTTGATGCCTCACCTCACTACGATGATATTATGACCATTTATGCCTTGATATACTATCATGATTTTTTGACTATTTATGCCATACTATACTATGACGTTTTTTGACTTTTTTTGCCATACTATACTATGATGTTTTTTGGCATTTTTATGCCTTACTATGCTATGTCATTTGATGCCTCACCTCACTACGATGATATTATGACCATTTATGCCTTGATATACTATCATGATTTTTTGACTATTTATGCCATACTATACTATGACGTTTTTTGACTTTTTTTGCCATACTATACTATGATGTTTTTTGGCATTTTTATGCCTTACTATGCTATGTCATTTGATGCCTCACCTCACTACGATGATATTATGACCATTTATGCCTTGATATACTATCATGATTTTTTGACTATTTATGCCATACTATACTATGACGTTTTTTGACTTTTTTTGCCATACTATACTATGATGTTTTTTGGCATTTTTATGCCTTACTATGCTATGTCATTTGATGCCTCACCTCACTACGATGATATTATGACCATTTATGCCTTGATATACTATCATGATTTTTTGACTATTTATGCCATACTATACTATGACGTTTTTTGACTTTTTTTGCCATACTATACTATGATGTTTTTTGGCATTTTTATGCCTTACTATGCTATGTCATTTGATGCCTCACCTCACTACGATGATATTATGACCATTTATGCCTTGATATACTATCATGATTTTTTGACTATTTATGCCATACTATACTATGACGTTTTTTGACTTTTTTTGCCATACTATACTATGATGTTTTTTGGCATTTTTATGCCTTACTATGCTATGTCATTTGATGCCTCACCTCACTACGATGATATTATGACCATTTATGCCTTGATATACTATCATGATTTTTTGACTATTTATGCCATACTATACTATGACGTTTTTTGACTTTTTTTGCCATACTATACTATGATGTTTTTTGGCATTTTTATGCCTTACTATGCTATGTCATTTGATGCCTCACCACACTACGATGATATTATGACCATTTATGCCTTGATATACTATCATGATTTTTTGACTATTTATGCCATACTATACTATGACGTTTTTTGACTTTTTATGTCATACTATACTATGATGTTTTTTGGCATTTTTATGCCTTACTATGCTATGTCGTTTGATGCCTCACTATACTATGATGTTTTTATGACCTTTTATGCCTTAATATACCATCATGATTTTTTGACTTTTTATGCCATACTATACTATGACGTTTTTTGCCTTTTTTGCCATACTATACTATGATGTTTTTTGGCATTTTCACGCCTTACTATGCTATGTCGTTTGATGCCTCACCATA